GGCAGCACCATCGTGAGCAGCACGCCGGACTCCAGCAGGGTGACCTTGAACAGCAGGACGGTTTCCAGCAGCACCATTGTGAGCAGAACGGCCGACTTCAGCAGCACGACCGGGAGCCGAACGATTCCATCGTGAGCAGCACGACGGGCCCCAGCATCACGACCGAGAGCAGCATGACGGATTCCGGCTGCACCCTTGTGAGCAGCACAACGGACTCCGGCAGCACGACCGTTAACAACATGACGGTATCCAGCAGAAGCATAGTAAGCGGCACGACGGACTCCAGCCGCACCAGTGTGAGCAGCAGGGCGGTTTCCAGCACCACCATCGCGAGCAGCGCGGCGGCGGACTTCAGCAGCACGACAATGAGCAGCATGACGGACTGAGGCAACATCGTGAGCAGCACGATTGGCTCCTACACGGCACGACAACTAACAGTATGACGGACTCTTTCGGCACCAGCACCAATTGTAAGCGGCACGGCGGACTCTGACAGCACCATTGTGAGCAGCACGACGGACTCCAGTAGCGCCATCGTTAGCGGCACGACGGACTCCAGCATAACTACTGGGAGCAGCATGACGGATACCAGCAGCAGCACCGTGAGCAGCACGTCGGATTCTTGTAGCGCCATCGTTAGCGGCACGACGGACTCCGGCATAACTACTGGGAGCAGCATGACGGATTCCAGCAGCAAAGCCGTGAGCAGCACGACGGACAACATCAGCACAGCGGTGACCAACATGACGGACTCCAGCAGCACCATTGTGAGCAGCACGACGGACTGCAGCACCACGGACGTGAGCAGCACGACGGACACCAGCAGCAACACCGTCGTCAGCAAGACGGACCCCAGTAGCACCATCTTGGGCAGCATGACTGGCTCCAGCAGAATGACCCCGAGCAGCATGTCGGATTTCAGCAGCACCATCGTGAGCAGCACGACAGATTCTGGCAGCACCGCAGTGAACAGCACGAAGGATTCCAGCATTGCGACCGTGATCGGCATGTCGGAGCAGCATGGAAGTTTCCATCAGCACGAAGGACTTCAGCAGTATCACCATCGTGAGCAGCATGGCAGTTCCCATCAGAACGACCGTGAGCATCCTGACGGAACCCAGCAGCACTACCATGAGCAGCGCGAGCACGGTGGACTCCATCTGCATGACCTTGAGCAGCATGACGGTTTCCAGCAACACCTCCGCGCGCAGCACGACGGACGCCAGTTCTGGTGACGTGAGCAGCAGCATCACGGACTCCAACAGCACGACAGCGAGCAGCATGATGGACCCCAGGTGCAACAATGTGATCATCTGGACTCGTTGGCCTCGCGAGCCTCCACGAGCTACAACGCCCAGCTCTGCGAGCGCGATCGTGGTGGGCGCGGGCAGCCGGCCCTGTCGCTGCTCGACGACGCGTCGCTGGTGAAGTCGGGGCCCCCCACCTTGAACTGGAGCGGCGCCTTGATCAGCGCGCGCGAGAAAGGCGAGCCGTCGCGGCGGTAGCCAGCCCCGCCGCTGTTCGGCGACGCGCGGGCGGGGGCGCCGGGGCCCGCGAGCATCCTGGGCCGCGGCGTCGGGCAGCGCGGACGGGGGCGGAAGTGGCAGCGCGACTGAAGGGTCGGCGAAGGGCGGCTTTGGCGGCGGTAGCGGCAGCATGCGGTGGAGCCGCTCCGACGGAGGCGGTCAGCGACGGTCTGCGTCGCCAGCTGGTCGCCCCTGCAGCTCGCGAGCCCCCCGCAGCTCGCGCGCCCCGCTGGCGCGGCCCTCGCGCCGGCGGAGGGCGCTTCCTCCTCGAGTGCGTCGGTGGGTAGTACGCGCGGCCCTCTTGCACGACGATGCTGGAGCAACGCCGAACAACACGTCTGCGGAGACCGGGGGTCGCGCGCGCCCTGCCCTCGCACCCCTGGATGGCGGCATCTCTCCTCCGACGCCTTCGTCGGGCAGCGCGCGTTGCTCCGTTGGCGCAGGGGCGATGTTCATCGCCCCAGAGGTGGTCATGTTTCATGGTCCTGTTATAACAATCGGTTGGCCGAGATTGGGGCACTCTTGGAGGTGGGCGCGCATCGTGAGCTCACCTGCAGCCGCAACTCAGATGTGGTCGGCGTTGCCAACGCGTCGCCGGGTTCGCGAACCCCGCTGGCTCAGCGCTCACTCTCTCGGGGGGTGACGTAGGCCGATGCGCGGGCCGCGCTGCGGCCTTCCCCCAGATCTCAGGGGGCCCCCGATGGCCTTCGCATTCGTGCGTTTCCACGAGTCCTGTCCAAGAGCGCCCGACGCTGGCCGATGGCGATGGCGGCGGCCGAAGCCAGAGCGCGCTGATTGGCGATATCAGGCGCGCGGGGAAGCGACTGGCGGCACTCGTGGGCCGGGGGATCGCCCGCGCCTGCCTCCGCCACGGGCGCCCCCCAGCCTCGTCGCCGCGCTGCAGGCCCGCGTCGAACATAAACGCCCGCGTCCTTGCGCGCCCGGATCGGGGCGACGGGCATTGCTTGGCCAGCCAGAACGCCCCTTCCATGGCTGCGATGACGCACTGGCCCTTCCATTGGCTGGCACGTCGTCGGAGGCGGGTGGGGTCGAGGAGGCCGCGGGCTCTGACGCTGGGGGGGCGGCGGCCACCTGCGACGCGGGCGGCGCCCAGGACGGCGACGCTCCGCTCGACCATGAGCTCTGCGCTTGGGCCTTAAGGCGCCTCGCGCCACTGCGCGCAGCCCCGGCGGCGCAGCCGCGCTCGGCCCGTCTCGGGCACGAGGCCCCGGCTTGGCCGGCGCGCTTGGCCGGCGTGATGTCCGCTGCCGCGCCTGCAGGGGTTGGATTTGCGGCTCCGTTTTCGGGGCGCCAGGTGGGCCAATTGCGGCCGCCGGCAGGCCGCCGCGACTTCCCTCCCAGGAACGAGCGCCCGACGCGTCTCTCGGCCCCTGGGGCCGCGTGGCCCCTGCAAGAGGAAGGCGTGGCCGTGGCCGTCCCCGCGCCTTCTCGGTGCCCCGGCACTCGCGCCGGCCCTCCCACGTTGTCGCGCCCCTCGGCGCGAGTGCCCGCCGAGCGGCGCTTGCGCCGCGCAGCTGCCTGCTCGGCGCGCCCTTCCTCCAAGGGGGGCGCGCCCCAGCGGGCGCGAGTGGGCGGGGGAGTGAGTTCGCCCAGTGCGCGCGCGGTGCGGCGCCCCCTCCTGGTCGGCGTTCGCCAGTGCCTTGCACCGTTCCGGCGCCCGCGATTGCCCCTCCAAGTCGAGGCGCGCTCCTCGGCCCTGCATGCGCTTGCGCTGGCCAGGCGTTCCTGGCCGCGGGCCGCCCGCCATGGTAGCCTGCCCCCCGGCGCTGGCGCCCGTTGGCTCCAGCGACCCCCCTCCTCTTCCAGCCCAGACCCCCGACGTCATGAATGTTTCATGACGTCGACCCCCAGCGGTCTGGACCCATTCCCCGGGACCGGTTCTTCGTCCCGAGTCGTTTCTTGACGGTCCCGAGGGCCGGCAAGGGCCCCCAGAGGCCAAAATGATTGAAAAACCTCCCGCCGTCGTGATGTTTTTCATGACTCGAGAGGGTCTGGGAGGCGCGGCCTCGCCCCGCGCGCTTCCCCTCCAAGGACTCCTTCCTGCCCTGACGTCCCTCCGCGGGCCCTGCCGCCCGGCTGCGTCGCGCGCGCCAGTCGGGCGCGGCGTTTGTTCTTTCCCCCTTTCCTCCGCCCGCCTTCGCGCCGCCCCCCCTCGCCCGCGCCCGCCTCGGCGCAGCCCCGCGCGGTCGCCGCGCGCTGCCGCTGGGACTTGGCCCTGGCCTCGCATCGAGCAGACGACGGCCCGGCGCCGCCAAGCCTGACGCAGCTCGGCCACGTGACGAACAACTGGCTGCACTTCCCGTTCCTGGCAGCTGCCCAGGTCTTCGACACCGCATGTTGCTGCAGCCTCATTGCGCGTTACGGCGCAACGTGGCGGACTACCGGATGCATTAGTACCCGGCAGCTTCCCGGGCCTTGTGCGCTGGCGTACTGGCAGCACCTTGCCTTGCTCCTCACGCTTTCAGCGCCTGCAGCCTTGGCTTAGGTCTTCGGATGTGGTCCTGATGCCGCCCCGCGTCCATTGCAATAGCATCGCAGCCCTGGCTGGCCGCGCCGGCGCGCTCAACATGGAACTCCTTCAGCCGCGAGCGCTCTCCTCTCCCTCCGGTACCTCCGCGGCCGCCCTGTCTTCCCGCGTTTCCTCTCGCGCGCCCCAATTACTTAGCCAACGCCCCCGGCTACTGCGAGCGCCCGCGCGGATTGCTTCTGCCGAGTTGCGACGAAAGGAAAGTGCGCAGCCCGTCGTCGCACTGTTAATGCGACGCGGACCCGTGGACATATCAGACTCCTCGCCAGGGGGCCGTTTTTTCATCCGAAGTTACTGTTTGGCGGTTTTGTGCTAGCTAGCGGTTTCCAGGTGCCGAGAAGGTACAACAACCGTCGAGGTGTTTTTTTGCGACGCATGGCGGGGGGGGGGCTCAGCATGAGCGTGATGCATCGACTTCGAATGGCTGATGCACCGGCGATGCATGTTTGATACCAGGGCGATGCATCGACGATCCATGGGGTGGTCTGCGTCCACGGTGTAACGAGGATAGCTGCATGGGCGATGTATCGGCCATCTGAGGTCGATGCATCTCCCCTACAGTGGATACCATGTCAATACGCATCCTGTTTGCCTGCAGGGTGCCCTGGGTGTCTTCGATCTCGATGGTTTTGCGATGGGAAGTGTGGCGTTCCCAAGCAACACATCAATGGACGTCTTGGGGTCGCAGGGTTGAGTTTCTTGTGAAAGTTTTCTTGTGGACTGGTTTCCATTACGCCTGACCCAGGGCTGGACCTGAACGGTGTTCGTTTTCGTTTCGCGGGCCGTTTTCGTGTCGAGTTCTTTTTAGGGTCAAGGCGGATTCGAGACAAAAGCGAGGGACAACGAAAACATAACGAAAACGAAAAACACCGCTTAGGTTCAGCCCTGGCCTGCGCCTCTTTTGCATCGTCGCCCGTCACCCGCAGGGACACCTGGCAGTCCTTCTTCGAGATCACCATCCTCGGGCCGAGCGACAGGGGGGGAGAGGGAGAGGGGGGGGTACGAAATCTGCTGCATGCAGCTGGTTTCGGCCCCGCCGCCGGGCCCATTCCTCGATATACATGGGCGCCTCCCGGCTCCGGGAGGCGCCGGGAAAATCAGGTACGTGAGCTGATTTAGGTGGCCACATGCGAACCCTACCCCTACCCCCCACGATTTCTGAGGGGGAGGGTGGGGTTCCCTTCGCTCGGGAGCTCCCGCACGAAGTGAGTCCCCACCCTCCCCCCCAGAAGTCGTGGGGGGTAAGTAGGGGCAGGGTTCTCCAACCCCTGTGATTCTCAATTCCCCCCCTTTGCTATACCCAGACCCCCGACGTCATGATTTTTTCATGACGTCGACCCCCCGCGGTCTGGACCCATCCCCCGGGACCGGTTTTTCGTCCTCAGTCGTTTTTTGACGGCCCCGAGGGCCAGTGAGGGCCCCCAGAGGCCAAAAACTATGAAAAACCCCCCGTCGTGATTTTTTCATACATCGAGGGGGTCTCAATTCCTTCCCTTTGCTATCCTTGACCTTCCAGAGAGCTACTGTTTCGCACTGGAGACCTAAAAACCTAAAAAACCGAGCGAAACTGCCTAAAACCAAGACGTACAATAGCTCTAGGATAGGTTTTTAGGTCGGGTGCTATTTTTTAGCACTCCTGGAAGGTCAGGGATAGCTCCCCTTTGCTATAGCCCCCCTTTGCTATAGCCCCCCCTTTGCTATAGCCCCCCTTTGCTATAGCCCCCTATCCCTAGGATTCTCAATTCCCCCCCTTTGCTATAGCCCCCCCTCTCGCCCGGCCCGAGCCTCCGGGTCCTGGGCGGGCTCCTCGGCGCCTTCGCCGTCTCGGAGCGCGGGGTCTTCCTCGAGCGGGCCGCGGAGCTCGGCGACCGGCTGCTGGCCGCGTGGGGGCCGGCGGACGGCCTGTACCCCGTGGGCGAGGCGGGCGCCGGGGTCGCCGTGAAGAAAGGAGGAGGAGGAGGAGGAGGAGGAGGAGGAGGAGGAGGAGGAGGAGGAGGAGGAGGAGGGGGAGGGGGAGGAGGAGGAGGAGGAGGAGGAGGAGGAGGAGGAGGAGGAGGAGGGGAGGAGGAGGGAGGAGGAGGAGGAGGAGGAGGAGGAGGAGGAGGAGGAGGAGGTCTCTCGTGGACGAACCTCGACGAACCTCGACGGACACTCGAAGGAGTCCTTGGAGGGGAAGCGCGCGGGGCGAGGCCGCGCCTCCCAGACCCCCTCGAATCATGAAACAAATCACGACGGCGGGAGGTTTTTCAATCATTTTGGCCTCTGGGGGCCCTTGCCGGCCCTCGGGGCCGTCCAGAAACGACTCGGGACGAAGAACCGGTCCCAGGGAATAGGTCTAGACCGCTGGGGGTCGACGTCATGAAACATTCATGACGTCGGGGGTCTGGGCTGGAAGAGGAGGGGGGTCGCCGGAGCCAGCGGGCGCCAGCGCTGGTGGGCAGGCTGGGGCCTGTTTTTCTTTGGATTCAGGCAAGTTTACTTGCATGGCGTTCGCCCCCCCCCCCCCCCCCTTCGCCCCTCATCAAGCGAATGCTAGCGTGCAGGTGCCTTTCGACTTGCGTGATTTCCGCGCCCCCCCGAACGTGCAAGTCGCTTGCGGCTTGCTTCAGGCTCAGCCCCCCCCCGTCCATGCAAGTAAACTTGCCATGCTCTAAAAAAAAACAGGCTCATGAACAAAAATCACGACGGGAGGTTTTTAAAATTTTTGTTTTGCCTCTGGGGGCCCTTGCCGGCGCTCGGGGCCGTCAAAAAACGATTCGGGACGAGAAACCGGTCCCGGGGACGGGGTCCAGACCCCGGAGGGTCGACGCCATGAAAAATTCATGACGTCGGGGGTCTGGGAAGGAAGCGGGCCGCGTCGTTGATCGCAGTAAAACCCCCAACCGGAACAACATGACGAGTTCGTGACGTATCTCAGGTCCACGGTCTCTAGGGAGACCCCCACAGAGATGGATGGTTCGATCTGACACATCGGCAGCCCCGAAAAAACCTATCCCACTGTTTCGGGCCCTCCGAGCTGAAGCGGGTTTTACCCTGAGCCCATGGCGTCGTCATTTTGTCACAACGGACGATGTTGCCTTGTTCGGGGCCCTGGGGCCATCACAGATCGGACCCTGCTTCTGAACGGGTGCGCGGAGAGATGGTGCCTAGCCAGGGCCCCAGCCGTGATCTCTCGCGATGTTTCTTTTGTTGGCAACGTCGGATCTCTGGATAAAGTGCTGTTCGCCGTCCGTGCCTCCCTGGGCTCTCCCAGGGCCTTGGGACCGCCATCGCACAATGCAGAGTGAACAAAAAAGCTGTCGCGGGGAGGCGCCCCTTGTGTCCAGGACCTGTTTCCCTTCAGGGCCCGCCTCCTTCGTACCGAGCCGGGGTCCCAGGGGCACGCCCAGAGGCATCCTGATGCACCGCTGGGTGGCGGAGCGCACACAGGGGGTCCCTCAGATTGGGGCTTCTGTGCCACGCTTCGGCCTTTGGAGGCATTCGTCCTCCTGTCGCCAAGCCAAGTCCTCTGAATCCGGATACCCTCCTGCTCTCCCTCCTTCTGTTGCCCTCTTGTCTTGATCCCTTACTGCTGATTCCTCCTCCATCCTGACTCTTTCTCCTCATTCACTTATTCCTCACCATCATCATCATCATCATCATCATCACCACCACCACCATCATCATCACCATCATCATCATCATCATCGTCGAATGTTGCCCTCGTCCCTCTCCCCATCCACCTCCTCATCACCTCCTGATGTTGTTTCTCTTACTCCCTCTCGTCCTCCTCCGCTTCCCAATTTTCATCATGCGGAGGGGACGTTTGGATTCGTTCAACAGGGGCAGATCAGGAGGAGAAGGAGGAGGAAAAAGAGGGTGAGAGCGAGGAGGCAGAGGATTATTAGGACAAGGATCGATATGGGGAGGGAGATGGGAAGGATGAAGACAAGGATGATGGAGAGAATGTGGAGGGACAAGCTGAGGAGGACGACGATGTCGAGGAGGCGAGGACGACGACAGTGAGCTTCTCCTCCCCTCCCCTCCAGCCCTGGAGGTCAACGTGCGGCTGGGCCAGGGCCGCGTGATCCGATGGATGGGCGGCAAGGCGAGGAGGGACGAGGTTCGAGGATCGTGGGTCTGGGAAAAGGTGCTCACGTTTCAGGTTCGAGGGGCGAGGAGGTTCGAGGATCCACGGGCGAGCATCGAGGGGCGAGGATCGAGGGGCGAGGAGGTTCGAGGATCGAGGGGCGAGGTTCGAGGAGGATCGAGGGGCGAGGAGCTTCGAGGATCGAGGGAAAGGGTGCTCACGTTCCTGGGGGCTGGAGGATCCGAGCGGCCGCTCGTCGCTTCGGCGGGCATCCTTGCTCGCATTCTTGTCCGAGAGTTCCCAGGGAGAGGTCCGCGGGGCCGACGTGGGACCCCCATGGGCATGGGGCCCCTCGCGTCGCGTGGCAGACGCCGCGTCGGAAGGAGGAGCCCGGGCCCACCCTTGGGGCGCACGTGACGCGCACGTCCCCCTCCCCTAAAAGGGTCCTCCTCCTCCTCCTCCTCCTCCTCCTCCTCCTCCTCCTCCTCCTCCTCCTCTTCCTCCTCCTCCTCCTCCTCCTCCGCCTCCTCCTCCTCCTCCCTTTCAAGGGTATCAGCCAGGGCCTTCCGATCCCCTCTGGCGGACCTGCGGTGGGGGGAAGCGATGGCTGGACTCTCCCCCGCTCCCCCGAGCTCAGAGAGGGCAACGCGCGGGGGAGACTGCGGACGGAGTGCAACGCAGCAGGCAGGCCCACCAGCACACTGGGGGGAGGGGGAGGCGTTGACCGATGAATGCGGCATGCGTGCTCGCTGGTGTTGTCCCGCGGCCTGCAGGTTTGGGAGCCACGCGGAGCCGACGACCCCCCCCCCCCGCAGCCCATCCCTTCACCGGCCAGGGTTTGCTATCTGCTCTGCAGCCGGCTGGGGTCCGCGACATGGCCTTGGCTGGCCCAGGGATTGCCAGCGGTCCCCCGAACGGGGGGGGGTGGGCCTTGTGCATTGGTGAGGAGGATGGAGCGGAAGGGAAAGGAGGAAAACGAGGATGAGGATGAGGATGAGGATGAGAATGATGATGATGATGATGATGATGATGATGATGATGATGATGATGATGATGATGATGATGATGATGATGATGATGATGATGATGATGATGGATGAGGATGAGGATGAGGATGAGGATGAGGATGAGGATGAGGATGAGGATGAGGATGAGGATGAGGATGGATGATGATGAGGATGAGGATGAGATGATGAGGATGAGGATGAGGATGAGGATGAGGATGAGGATGAGGATGAGGATGAGGATGAGGATGAGGATGAGGATGAGGATGAGGATGAGGATGAGGATGAGGATGAGGATGACTGATGCTGATGCTGATGCTGATGCTGATGCTGATGCTGATGCTGATGCTGATGCTGATGCTGATGCTGATGCTGATAAGGAGGAGGAGGAGGACGAGGAGGAGGAGGAGGACGATGAGGAGGAGGCGGAGGAGGAGGAAGAGGAGGGTGACGATGAGGGGGCGGCGGAGCAGGGGGAGGAGGAGGAGGAGTAAACAGCAGCACAGTTGGAACAGGAGGCAGGCGTAGCAGGGGGGAGCACGAGGAACAGGGGAAGGCGGAGGAGGGGGCAGGACGGGGAGCGACGACGAGAACGGAACCGGATCCAGCAGGGTGGCCCACTCTGAATGCTGGGGCGGGAGCGCCACTCTGAATGGTGGGAGCAGGCGCTGGACAAGATGATCGGGACGAGAGGAGTGGCAGAGGGATGCGGGAGGAGGAACCGGAGGATGTAATGCGGATGAGGATGAGGATGGGGATGAGGATGAGGATGAGGATGGGGGAACAGGGTAGAAGCAGCAAGAGGAGGAGTATGGGACGGAGGAGGACGGGTGATGAGGAGGTAGGGGAGATC